CCGCGTGGTGGGGGACGCTCGCCGGTATATAAAGGCCGACCGGCGCAAGCCGGGTTATCCAGTCCTGTCTCGACAGTCCCGTCCGACTCCTTCCTGTCACTCTTCGTCGAGAGTACTCGACATCGGCCTCGGCCTATCTGGGGGATCCGGAGCGTGCTCCATCTCCATCGGGGCTACCCGGTTCAGGTCCAGTGCAACGGGACTCTGTTCCTTGCATTCGGACAGTCTTCGGCGGACGGTCTTCCTCCTTCGAGACATCTCCGTCGTCGAGAGTACTCGACATCGGCTTCGGCCTATTTGGGGGATCCGGAGCGTGCTCCATCTCCACCGGGGCTACCCGATTCAGGTCCGGTACCAAGGGAACCTCGGTTCCGGATATACGGACAGCCGTTGGAGGTGTCCCTTCTCCTAGGCAACTCCGCCGCGAGGAGTCATACATATCGGGATGTTTGTTATTCTATCTTCTAACTATGTTTTTCCTGTTCCAGACTAAGCGATATCCCGTTTCCTGAGCTTCCCGACACCGCGGAACCCTTCCCGACCACGATCCCCTCCCCTTGTACCAACCGCCGTTCCCCGGTCCGACCGCCGACTAGTTTCGCCGCGTCTAGGTTAAGTTCCGCCGTTAGGTTGGGTTGTTCTAGTTACTAGGTTAAGTTTCGTTCTTAGACATTAAGTTACCGCGAGTAAGAATCGTTCCGGGGGATTCGTAACTCCCCACAGGTGTTATTCTCATTATGTTCTAGACCACTTTTCTTCTCTAAATAAATATTGTTGTCTACTAATCCAGTGTCTCCTTCCTTTCTCGAGCCCTGTCCCGGCGAGCGAATCCGAGCGGGAAAGGTCGACCGTTACATGGCGCCCGAACAGGGACCTGATCCGTGAGACACTGGGTTGTCACTAATGTCACCCAATAAGAATTGGACATATTATCTTTCCAAAGAAAAATTAAAACAAGAGTTGGAAAACCGTGGTCTAGATAGCAGCGGTACTATTGCCGACCTCCGGCGCCGCCTTAGCGAATTCGAGACCGTTCAGCACCGTTCCACCAGCCCCAGTAGAGAGACACCAAGGGAGCCCAGTGAAGAAAAAGCAGCGGACTCTGTGAAAGAGAGTCCGAGTGGCTCCAGCGAGGAAATTTCAGAAGACCATAAAATGAATCCGCCGGGCGAGAACGCTCCAGACCGCCAAGATCATGAATCAGATTCGCAAGTGGGGGTGCCATTTTGATGGCAAGAAACTCCTCTCGTTCCTGGAAAGGTTAGAGGAACTCCGCCAGGGCTACGGTTACTCCGGGGAGCAACTCCTGATGGGCCTCCCCGAGCTCCTCCGAGGAGAAACACTGCTGTGGTACCGTAATAACCGGGACTCCTGGACTTCCTGGGACGAATTCTGCAGAGAATTTTGTCAACAATACCTGCCATGGCGCTACCGGTCCCAGTTGAAACGAGAGATCCAGGGCCGTCTCCAACGATCAGACGAGCCGTTCCACAAATATGCTACGGCCGTTCTCACCAGCATGCGTCGAGCCGAAGGCTTTTCCACAGACGAGCAATTGGAGCGATTGTACGAGAACATGCGTCCCGAGTACAAGTTGTACATTCGGTTAGACGATGTCACCAGCCTCGGCGACTTGAGTGCCCGGGCAG